CGCGACGCGACGTTCGCGCCGACGCGCGCGCGGTCGAACGCGATGGCGATGATTTCGTCGCGTCGATCGACGCCGACGCCGGCGCCGAACGCGCGCGCGGTGGCGCCCGTCGAGGGGGTCGAACGCGACGCGTCGCCGGAAGAGTATATTCGTTCAACGCGCGCGACGGTGGACGACGCGACGGGCGCGGACGTCGGCGCGGACGGCCGAGGGGTCGGAAGGGGGGTGGACGACGCGGACGAGACGTACACGCGGGCGGAGGTGCGCGCGCACGACGGCGGCGACGATTGTTGGATGATCGTGCGCGGAGAGGTGTACGACGTCACGGCGTGGGTGGAGAAACACCCGGGTGGACGGACGGTGTTGGAACAGTACGCGGGGCGGGACGCGACGGATGCGTTCACGGCGTATCACGGTGGTGAACGCAAGGTGCTCGCGCGGTTGCGAACGATGCGCGTGGGAACGGTCGCGGAGGGCGAGACGCCGACGCCGACGCACTTGAAGGGGTTCAGGGAGATGCGAGAGATGATGGAGGGGGATCACAAGATGTTGAGGAGTTCGTTTTCGGATTACGCCTTCGTCTTGGTGCGCTTGGTCATCTTTTTCGGCGGCGCGCTGGCGTGCGTCTTGGCGCCGGGCGCCGGGTTCAAGACGCACATGCTCGGCGCGGTCTCCCTCGGGTTGTTCTGGCAACAATCGATGTTTATCGGTCACGACGCTGGACACAGTTCGATCACGTTCAACCGCAGCTCGGACGCGATGATCGGTTGGACGGTCGGTAACTTGTTTAACGGCGTCGGCATCGCGTGGTGGATGGCGACGCATAACGTCCATCACTGCGCGTGCAATTCGCTCGAATGCGATCCGGACATCCAGCACATGCCTGTTTTAGCGGTGAGCGAGAAGTACTTCAAGTCGGTGTACTCATTGTATCACAGACGTCGCATGACGTACGATCGCGTCGCCAGGTTGCTCGTGAGGTATCAACATCTCACGTTTTATCCGATTATGGCTGTCGCGAGGATCAATCTCTACCTGCAGACGTTGATCTTCTTGTTCAAGGCGAAGCGCGTGCGTAACCGGGGGATGGAATTCTTGACCTTGGGCATGTTCGCCGCGTGGCTCTCCGCGCTCATCGCGCAATTGCCGAGCGGACATCGGGTACCATTCTTCTTTCTCTCGCACGCCGTCGCGGGGATCATCCACGTCCAGATCTGCCTCTCGCACTTCTCCCGAGACGTCTTCGAGGGACGACCCGAGAACGACGAGTGGGTGAAGATGCAGCTTTCCGGAACGATGGACATCGAGTGCCCGCGCTGGCTCGATTGGTTCCACGGCGGTTTGCAGTTTCAGGTTGAGCACCACTTGTGCCCGCGCGTGCCAAGACACAAGCTTCGCGAGTTCCGCGAGACCGTCGTCAAACCCTTCGCGGAAAAGAATGGATTACAGTTACATTCCGTCGGGTTTTGGGCCGCCAATCTCGAGGTGTTTCGAACGCTCAAGCTCGCCGCGAAGCAATCCAGATGGGCGCCGCACTTCTCGGCGGCGACGCACCTCTGAGTCTGGTCCCCGAACCACCACAGGCGTCTTCACTTCGCCGCAATTTTCCCTTCCACGCACGCGACATACGTCAACTATGACATACCGGTACTTTATTCTTATCATTAATAGTAGTCACATCTCTAGGCGTTTAGATCTTGTCTTGTGTACGTTATGTTTACCGTTCTCCGCAAGCCGCTCTCCTCGCGCGATCGTCACATCGCGTCCCCCCCCGTTCTGATGCCCCCGACGCCGTCGAGCGCGCGTCGATGCGAGACCTTCGCCCTTCCTCCCCTGCGATGCGAGCTCGCCCTCGTGCGAGACGTCCTCACCGCCCTCGTGCACACCATCGCGTGGACCAGGGCGCTCGGGTGCGCGAGCGCGCGGGACGAGCGGTGCGAACGCATCGACGTCCGGTACGTCACGTGCGGAGAATCCGCGGTGGAGACGAAGATCCGAGAGCGGTGCGACGCCGTGATACAGTGGGCGCTGCGGAACCGAGGCGGGGAGGCGGATGTGAGCGTGAGTTTCTACGAGAGCGAACGAAGCGACGGAGCGAGCGGGACGAGTCGAAGCGGCGTCAAGGGAGCGCTGACCGCGGCGATCGGTGGAGTCATGGGAGAGAGTAAGCGAACGGCGGTGTGTTGGGAACGATGGCGGATCGGGTTGGAGATTTTCTTGGGGGAGGAGTTGGACGAGGACGAGCGCGCGCGGGCGAGAGACGCGTTGCGGGACCAAGTCGTCGGGACGCAGAGACACATCTTGAGCTTGGTGAACGAGATGAAGGCGCACGTACCGCCGGTAACGACGAGTGATGTGGTGAGCTTTCCGTTCGAGATCACGACCCCGATCGCTCGGGAAGATTCACCGGGGAGTTTCGGGAGAGACATGTTGCGCAGAATCGCGAGCCTCTCCTCGACGCCGCCGTCGATGATTTGATTCTCGATCGCTTTGGAGTCGTTATAACCTGTACACATCACGCCGCGCTAAAACTACGAATATCATCGTCCTCATCCCCCCCGCGAGCGCTCGGCGCGACGCATCCGCCATCTCGAGTACTCGTCCCGCGTCCGCGCCTCGTCCTCCGCCGACAACTCCCCTCGCGTCGCCCGCTCCATCCTCTCGAACAACTCCCTCTCGTCCACCTCATCGTCCTCAATCGCGTACTGTATCGGACTCCACGACGGAAACGCGAACCTCTCGCCTCGTTCACCCATCGTCGTCGCCGTCTCCGCGCTCGCCGCCGCCGCCGCCGCCGCGCCCAGCGCCGCCCCCGTCGCCGCCCGCCCCCGTCCCCCGTGCGCCCACGCCCCCGCGCCACCGACGAGGCCTCCCGCGAGCGTGCGCTCACGCCATCCGCGCCCACCATCCCCCGCGCGCGCCAGCGTCTCCACCGCACCCGCGTACGCGCACCCGAAGAGTCCAAAGTTGACACACATGCCCATGGCGTACTCCGGGACGTGTCGCGCGCTCCGTCCGCGCATCGCCGCCACGACGACGCCCGCGATCGCCCCCGCCGTCGCCGCGCTCGACGTCGTCGCGAGCATCCGTCGCGCGGCGTCGCGGTCGAGCATGTCCGGGGTGTGCCGCCCCGGTTGACATTCGTGCCATTTTTAAAAAGTGCAAAAAATCAATCGACATTCGAACATCCCTCGACGCCTCTCGCACACGCGCGCGCGCGCGAAGCGACCGCGCGCGATGCGGACGATGCCATCGGTCGTCGCCGCGTCGCCGATCCCGAGCGCGCGGGCGACGCGCGGGCGAGCGACGCGGCGCGTGACGACGACGGGACGCGCGCGAATATTCCAACCGCTCGGGACCGCCGCGCGCGCGCGCCCGGTGGCGCCGCGCGCTCTTCGCGGGCGAGGCGACGGCGGAGCGCTCTGCGCGATCGCGCCCGCGTCGACGGAAGATGGGACGACGGCGGCGGTGAAGAAGCGGCGGGTGGCGATCTTCGTCGAGCCGAGCCCGTTCTCGCACGTGAGCGGGATGAAGAATCGATTTCTGCGCCTGATTGAGAACCTGCGGGAGATGGGGGACGACGTGGTGGTGATCACGCCCGATCGTAATCCGCCGGCGGAGTATCACGGGGCGAAGGTTATCGGATTGAGAGGTTTCGTGTTGCCGTTTTACGGCACGGATACGCTGCTGTGCTCCTTCGGCGTGAGCGGAGAGGTGTGGAGGGAGTTCAGGGAGAGACCGCCGGATTTGGTGCACTGCGCGGTGCCGGGAGGGCTCGTGTTCGGGGCGATGACGTACTGTAAGCTCTTGGACCTGCCACTGGTGCAGTCGTATCACACGCACATTCCGCACTACATTCCGAGGTACACGTGGGCGGGACTCGTGAAGCCGATGTGGGACCTGATTCGGTTCTGGAACGGCTACGCGGCGACGACGCTGGTGACATCGAGCATTTTGGAAAACGAGCTTCGCGGAGAGGGATGCACGAACCTGCAAGTTTGGGATAAGGGCGTGGACACGGTGTCGTTCAACCCAAAGTTTCGGAGCGAGGAGATGCGCAAGAGACTCAGCGGCGGGCGCGACGGCCCGATTATCGGGTGCGTTGGTCGGCTCGGCGCGGAGAAACGTTTGGGAGATCTGAAGGATATCTTGGCCAAGTTACCTCCGAACGTGAACTTGGCCATCATCGGAGACGGTCCCGAGCGACAAAAGCTCGAGAAGCACTTTGAAGGGACGAACACCGTGTTCACGGGTATGATCACGGGTGACGATTTGTCCGCCGCTTACGCGTCTTTGGACGTCTTCGTCATGCCAAGCCCGAGTGAAACGCTCGGTTTCGTCGTCATGGAGTCCATGGCCTCGTCCGTGCCGGTGGTCGCAGTCGCCGCTGGCGGTCTTCTCGACATCCTCACAAAGCCGGGCGACGTCGGCTTGCTCTACCCGGAGTATGATTACGACGCCGCAGCAAAGCACGTGACGATGCTCCTCGAGGACGACGTCGAACGTAAGAGAATGGGGGAAGCCAGCCGTAAGGACGTAGAGAAGTGGGGTTGGATGTCGTCCAACAGAAATTTGCGCGACAACCAATACACCAAGGGCCTGGCGAGATTCTTCAGGTTACAACGACTCAGAAACGTCGCCAAAGCGATCGGCGTGCGACGACGTACGGCGGCTGCGATCGATTTCCTGATTTCTGGTCAGTACATTTTGCAGATCGTCGTCTTTACGGCCGCCGTCGGCGCCTTGATCTACGCTAGACAAACCGGACCGGCGGTTGCGGCGTCCAAGGTGAAGGCTGCTTTCGTCGCCTCCAACTGGCTCACCGTCTCGGAGGCCGCGATCAAAGAAGCTGGCCCCGTCCTCGCCCCGGCGTTCCTCACCGCGATCACCACGCTAGCGGCGATCATTCCGTTCGTTCCCACCCAACCTCTGTTCGTCATGGCTGGCTTGTTCTTTGGTCCCGCGTACGGCGCCGCCATCGGACTGTTCGCCGCGGTGTGCGCGGCGGGCATTTCGTCCGCGACAAGCCGCTCTCGTGGGTACGGAAAAATCAGCGATGCGATCGCCTCGTCGGGAGTCGGTGCCCCGGCGCGTCGCTCGATCCGAGCGCAGCTGCGCAAGGTGAACCGAGCCGTAAGCGGCGACGGCGACGCCGTGATCCAAGCCGCCAAGGTGGCCGTCATGCGTCTCCTCCCGCACGCTCCCTTCACGGTCACCAACTACCTCTTGGGTCTCACTCAAGTGCCCGTTCGTGCCATCATCGCCGGCACCGCCCTCGGCATGGCCCCGTGGGTCGCTTTCTACGCCATCGTCGGCGCCAACAGCCGGGCTCTCGTGCGCTCTGGCGGCCCCTCTCTCGCCGACGTCGCCCACAAGATTTACACCACCGGCACCGCCCGCATCCCCGATCTTCTCACCACCACCGAGTTCGCCCTGGTCGTTCTCTGCACCGTGTTGCTTTTACTCAGGCCCGCCGCGCCGGCGGAGCCACTCCTCGACTCGCGGTAATATTGCAAAGCCTACGCAGGCGCGTCCCGACACCCGCCGCACTCCCTGGCGCCCATCATGCGCGCCGATCCCGCGCACCTCCCCTCCACCTCCGGCCGCGCACGCGCGTGTGCCAATCGCGCGCGATCGCGAATCACTCGAGCGCGCACGATCGCCCGCGCCTCTGGCGACGACGTCGACGACGCCGCGCGCGCGCGCTTCGCCTCGGTCAACTTCCACGGCGTCTCTCCCGAGGACAAAGCCTCCGCGGCGCTGTGCGATCTGTTGACCATGTCCGCCGTCCGAGTGGTGATCGACCAAATGTCGGGCTCGCGACATCGAAGCCCGATGGCGCCGAAACTGATTGATTATTTACAACAAAAGCCCCTCCGCGCCGGCGCGAGCGCGTGGCTCGCCGAGTTGATGGCGCACGAGGATTTGGACCACCGCGCGGTGGCGCTGCGAATCATAGAGACGCGGAAGGTTTTAGCGGCCACGCGCGAGGGATTCGATTACGATTGGATGCGAGAGGAGACCCTGGAGGGGTTGGCGCGCGAGAATCTCGAGCTCAGTCGCGCGCTCGCCGGGTCGAGCTTCGGCGACGCGCCCGAGACGTGATCGGTGCGTCGCGCGCGATCCCATCGGAGACGACGTCGATGTGCGCACCATCGGCATCGTGCGTTTCCAGCGCGCGCGCCGATCGACGCGCTCGAATCGACGCTCGAGTCGCCTCCGCGCGTCGCGAATGCGACGCGTGCAATGAAAAACGGTCGCCACACATTTCGTCGCGCCGCGCGTCATGTCCGACGTCGAGCGCCCGCGCGAGACGCCCGCGCGACCGAGCGCGCGCGCGTCGACGTCCGCGACGTCCGTGCACGACGCCGCGCGCGCCGTGGTGGTCGCGCGAGCGCTCGGTCGCGCGAGCGTGAGCGCGCTCGCGAGAGAACTCTCGCTGGCGATGCCGTTCGCTGGGCGACTCGGTGGGTACGTCGCGCGCGTGGTGTGGTTGCGAAAGGCGCGACGGAGGCGTGGACCGCTCGTCGCGGCGAGCGTGGGGGGGGTGGCGATGATTCGAGCGGTCGCGGGACGGACGGAGGGCGGGACGCGGAAGACGCGCGCGGGAAAGACGCTGGAGACGTTGCTGCGATGCGCGATGCGGGTCGTCGAGGCGCTGGCGTCGAGTAAACCGTTACCGAAGATCACGGGACGGGTGGGGTTGATCGTCGCCGCGGCGGCGCCGCATAAGTTTTTCGTGCGGCGATTCGCGAAGTGCGCCGCGCGCGTGTGTAAAATTCCGGCGGTGCGGGTGAAATTACAACGGCACGCGAAGCGGTTGGGGAAGTTGCTGGCGAAGAATAAGGTGAAAAATGAGGTGAGTTCGTATAGGTTGGCGGTGAACGAGGCGTGGGAGGTGTTGGAGGAGACGCTGCCGAGGGATCAGTTGTTCGCGATGCGACACGCCGAGGGACAGTTGAGCACCATCGCGCGGTTCACCGGGGCGAAGAATAAACGTCGAAGACGACGAGGGCGGGGCACGACGACGCGCGCGAGCGACGACGAGGGCGAGAGCGACGAGGACAGCGACGATGAGAGCGTGAACTTGTACGCGGAGAGCCACAGACGCGCGGTGTTCATGCGACCGATGGGATGGGTCAAAGGCGGCGTGAGTCGCTTACAGAGACTGCCAGCGGTCGTGTACGACAGCGTCGTGGCGACCGATACGGGGTATGGGAACGCGCTTTTGATGCCACGAGAGTACGAAATTCACGCGTTGAAGAACAAACTGTCGCCGATGGCGAGGATGAAGTTCACCGACACCCAGCTATCATCATTCTTGCTTCAATCGAAAAACGCCTCCGCAGCAGCGCTCGCGGTGGAGCGATCGATGCAGTGGCGCAGACGGTACGAATTTCTGAACGATGCCAAACTGAAGGAGTTTCAAAACATCGTCTTTATTCACGGTCCGAAGCAAAGCTGGAGCGGGGGATATCAGCTCGTCCTGAGACTACGAGCAGCCATGGACGTAGTGGGCATGGAGGGCCTTGATGGCGTCGTCTCCGCGGTTATGACGCACGCCGAGCACGAGTGGACGCGCCTCAAGCAGTCGAACGGTGTCATTCGTGGACGTTTAGTCGCGCTCGTCGATTGTTCGGGGATCGATTTGACATCTTTTCCGATTTCACTCGTGGCAACGACGCTCGTGACGCTTGACGCGAATTACCCAGAGCTTGCCGCCGAGGTACACTGCATAAACGTCTGGTGGCTCATGCGACGTTCGTTGCAAGTATTACTCGAAGTCGTCAGTCCGAGCACGAAAGGGCGCGTTTTGGTGTACCAAGCAGATGACGATGGATTTGAGAAGTTGCACGAGAGGTTCTCCCCGCACATCCTGCCCAGGTGCATCGTCGGCGGGAAGTGCCACTGTCACAAGTGCAAGAACGAGGCGTTTGTCACGAAACCACCTCGAAGAGCCCTAGCGGGATCTTGGAGAAGTCTCACGTGGCAGCAAATGTCGGGGTCGCAGCGGCGGCAGTACTTGAGACACTTGGTCGTGTACTTCGTTGCACTCGTCATCTTCTATCCAATGTTCTATTTCAGAATGACAATCCACCCGATCATGGCGACCACGTTCGCGATGATACACCGTTCGGGCTTCCGTGAGCGAGCGTTGGTGGCCACAGTCTTCGCGTCGTGCGTCATGGGTTTCTTCACGTGGAAGTTTATCACAAATGCGGGTTTGATGGAGGTTTACTTGCCATTCATCTCGCGACGGACACTAGCTTTTCTTCCGTGGACTTTTCGAATGAACGAAGTGTAACGAGAAGTGTAAAACTGTTGCATTATTTCACCATTTACATGTATCATCTACGATCATATGCGAGTAACGTCATTTTATTGCTGCCAGTTTCCGCCACCACCGCCATTTCCGTAACCGCTGTAACCGCCACCGCCACCGCCGTAACCGCCGCCGCCGTAGCTGCCACCGCCGTAACCACCGCCGCCGTAACCGCCATTTCCTTGCGCAGAAAATTGGTTGTAGCCGCCGTTGCCGTTGCCGCCGCCGTTGCCCATGTAGCTCTTGTTTGGACAGTCACGTGCCCAGTGCCCAGTGCCACCGCAGGCTCGGCACGTGGAGTTTGACTTGTCAATGCCGCCGCCGCCGCCGCCGCCGCCTTGGTTGTAACCACCGTTGCCAGCCCCGCCACCAGCGCTTGGACAGTTCATCGCGAAGTGTCCGGTTTGACCACACTTATAACAGTTACCAGCGCGCTCACCCCCGGCTTGATTCCAACTCGGCATCTTGTTCTCTTGAGCCTCGGTGTAGGATGTTGACGGACGCTTCTTCGTCGGCGCTTCGTATAACTCGGGGTCTTCACCCAATTCGAGCTTGGCAATCTTTTCAAGCAGCTTCTTATTAGCCGCAGCGAAGTTGATCGGCGAAATTTCGGCCAAGGTACATTTAATGCGCGGCATGTCACCATACGTGTCAACGGCAACCTTCAAACGCAGCTGGTACATGTTGAAGTGGCGACCCACGAGAAACTTTTCAAACTCATCCGGCTGCTCGTCGAACATGCGTCTCATTTCACCAGCCGTCATTCCCGACATGACCTTTTCTCCCTCGGAGCCGAAGACGGTTACCCACTGCTCAGCGCTGTGATCCGCGATGACGCAGGAGAACATGTAGCGCCAATCCGCGGCTTCGATATGTTCGCCGCTGTGACGCTCACACGACCATACACCCGTGTCATCCACCGTTCGTAACTTCTTCATGCACTGTCGCTCGCCGTTCATGAGGGGACAAGACGCGTAAAACGGACCCTCTTGGCCTGGTTTGATGTGCTTGATCATGGCGCAGGTGTTGACATACGCGACGGCGCCTTCGCCTTGTGCCATTAATTCGTCGCCGAGCTGCACAATTCGTCCGATGGAGAGTACATTACCGCCCGATCGACCACTGCCTTCTCCGCCGCCGGTGCCGCTTAAGCTGGTAAACTGCGCGTCGGCACCACCTTGATCGAACCAGATGCGCATTTCCGTCGCTTCTTCGCGATCAGGGTTGATTTCAACAGACGTGCTGCCGACAGTACCCATATTCTTGCCTTGAAACTCACCCACGCGCGCATTCTTCACGGCGATCACTGGCTTCTCACCACTTGCAATCAAACTTTCAATCTGACCGCCTAGTTCGACCGAGTGCGGATCCCAGAGCGTGAACTCGATAGCTGCGTCTGAGTTGTCACGAATCATCACCGAACGCTTTGTCGTTTCGCCGCCGTCACGTTTCATAATCGTGGCCAATTCTCCGACGTGGTAAGCGATACCAATGACGTCAGCCATCTCGCCCGGCATCGCCGTGGCGAGGTCGGCCACCTTCTTGAACTTGTACCTGACCTTTTCGATCGATCGCTCCGCGTCCGGGCACTCCACGAAGACAGTATTCTGATCAAACTTCATCTCGTACTGATGAATCGCGTACTTCGGGTTTCGCGATGCCGAGATCGAAGCCTTTGAAATCTCGTAAACTCGACCGTGGTGCAATTCGTTCGAGAAGCGAACCGCGGCGTCACCGAAGCCGACGCACTTCATCTCCGTGCCCTCAGCATCGAGGATTTCAAAACCGAGCACCTTGCCGTCACCCTTTGTATTGCTGTAAGACCGCAACTCCAGTCGCCCGGTGATTCGTGCGCGCACGGTCCATCGATTCTGGTACGGATTGAGCTCGTTGAGCGTTCGAATCTGCGAGGGCGCCTCGTTTCGCGCCACCGCGCCGCTCTGCCGATACTGCCCCGTCGCGGCCGGAGCGCCACCGCCGTATCCGCCGCCGCCCGTGCGCTGTTGCGGCGCAGCCAACCCGGAGCCGTTTGTTCCTCCCGAATATCCTTGCACCATCGGTGCTGGCGCACTACCGTACGCGTTTCGCTGCGCCGGCGCGCCGTGACTCGAGCCGTTTTGGGCTTCCTGTGGCTGCCACACCCGCGGTTGACCGATCACTTTATCGTACTTCTCCACCACTTCCGCCTCGATGACGACCATGATCCTGCGCGCGTACGAACCGTGCCATATTCGTCAGTCCTCCGAGCCGTTCTTAGACGCAGTGCGACCGTCGCATCGACGCGTCACGTCGATGCATCGGTCGTCAAATCTCACGCATCGCGAATCAAAAATCAATCGCACACGCACGTCTTATCATTCACCACCTGCACCGTGTACTCATCCAAGCGTAAAATCGTAAACTTTGAAATTTCCTCTCGCGCGCACATGTCGTTCAACTCCCCCGCGACGAGCGCTTGTCCCGCGAACGAGCCATCGGAGACCAACAAACGGAATCGTCGCGGTTCGCCCTCGCGCGTCTTAATCGGCTTCTTATCGAACACCTGAACGAGCGGTTTCACCTCACGGCTCGTCACCGCGCCCGCGAGGACGTTATTGATCGCATCCGGGGTCAGGAGCGGCGGCATCGCCGGTCGCTCGCGCGCGCGCGTGTGACGTCGCACCGCGCGCGCGCTCGGGATTTTCGAAATCGCGCCAGTCTCGGACCGATCGACCGCGTCGAGGGTGCCGGGTTCTCGCTCGCGCGGGGCGTCGTTCACGAGTCATGACTCACGAAAGAGTCCCCTCGAGACCCCATCACGCGTCGCCCGGCGTCGCCCGGCGCCCGGCGCGCCCGGCGACGGGCGCGCGCGCGTCCGCGGGCGCGCCGAGGTCCTCTCGTCGCGTTCACGGCGTCGCGCGGGGCGGCGGGGCGGCGGCGCGACGGGCGCACGCGCGCGGGGCGCGATGTGTTCATCACCGATGGACATTCGTGAAACCCACGCGATGGGCGACGTCGGCGGATGCCGACGCGCGGCCTCGGTGGACGCTCGCGCGCGCTCGAACGCGCGTGGACGCGCGCGGGACGTCGGGCGCGCGTCTCGGGTCTCGCGCGAGCGCGAGAGCGAGCGAGCGAGCGCGACAGCGGCGGACGGAGGACGATGACGCGGGCGTCGGAGGACGGCGACCGCCTCGTCCCGTGGACGCGCGATCGCTACGGTGGCGTCGTCGTCGACGTCGATCACGCGGCGTTCGTCGAGGCCGCGTCGACGACGGAGACGTTCGACGCGGCGCTGGGACGGTGGACGACGCGGTGGCGGGCGGAGGGCGCGCGCGGGGTGTGGTTGCGCGTCGGGTTGGAAAAGAGCGAGCTCGTGAGCGTCGCTCGCGATCGAGGATTTGAGTTTCATCACGCGGAGAAGACGTACGTGATGATGACGGCGTGGTTACCGGAGGACGAGGCGTCGACGATACCGGCGAACGCGTCGCATCAAGTCGGCGTCGGCGCTTTCGTGTGGGACGAGGAACGGAAACGAGTGCTCTTGGTGCAGGAGAAAAGAGGGCCGGCGAGCGGGAGAGACTTGTGGAAGATGCCCACGGGACTCGTGGATGCGGGTGAGGACGTCCCGGATGCGGCGGAGAGAGAGGTTTTGGAGGAGACGGGGATCGAGACGACGTTCGAGGCGGTGGTGGGCGTTCGACACGGGCACTTTGGGTTGTTTGGGAAATCGGATTTATTCTTCTGCGTCGTCCTAAGGGTGAAGCCGGAGAGCACGCGAGAGATCGTGACGCAGGAGAGTGAGATCGAAGCGGCGAAGTGGGCGTCCTTGGATGACTTTTTGGATAACCCGCACGTGGACCGCGGTTCGCACGCGCACGAGCTCCACGAACGCTGCGCGCGGTGGGCCTCGGGCGAGCGCACCGCCGGAATCGTCGCCAAGCGTCTACCCGTAGGTTTTGGTCGGCCCGGTGAGGTGTACACCTACGTCACTGATGATGCCTGAGTGTAATGTAAACGGACGCGCGTCGCGTCGGCTCTCTCCGCGCGCCCGCAAACCCATCCGACGCGCCCGTCGCCCGCACAAAACGCCTCACAGCGTCAACCCACGCGCTCGACGCCCGTCGCACGATCGAGAATGCTTCGTCTCCCGTCTCCGATCCCCCCCGCGCGCGCGACGACGCGGCACGCGACGCCAGAGTCGTCTGCACCACCCGCGGGTTCACGGTTTTCAACCGCAAAGAATTCTCCTCTTCGACGCTCCGTGCGCGTCGACGCGAAGAAGAGCAAGAAAGACGTCCAGATGTCCGAAGCCGCGTGGTTCTTGGATCAGTTCAAGTACCAACAGCGATACAAGGCGCAGACGAACGTGTTCACGATGCCGACGAAGGAGCTCCCGGGCGGGGACAAGCTCACGGCTGAGGGCGCGTTCGTCGGCGGATTGTTCGGCGTGTTGGCGATTTGGGGGGTGTCGCTGATTTTCAAGCTCCTGAGCGTGACGTGGGCGCTGGTGTTGGCGTCGCTGAAGTACGGCGCGATCGCGGGGGTGCTGGTGTTCCTCGGCGTGTTGGTGAGCTAGAACGCGCGAGGCGCGAACGTTAGACGCGTTTGTAACGCGTGATTTTAGCTAGTTAGCGATATCTCGGCGCGGGTTCGATCGACCGCTTCTTCGAGGGATAATCTGAGAGCGTCCACCTCGGCGATGTTTCGCGATTTCGCGTTGGCGAGCGCGGTAGTGAGCGCGCGGTACATCGCGAGCTCGGAGCTGAGCGCCAGGACGGAGCGTTCGAGCGCAGAGAGCTTGAACTTGGCTCGGTTGAGTGAAGACGCGGTGTTGAGCGCGTCATCGGCGTTTTCAGTGACGATACGTCGCACCCGGTCGACCTCGCGGTCGATGTCTCTACATCGAAGATTTCGCCCGTCGAGCTCGCGCTCGGCGACCTCGATGCGCGCGCCGAGCGCGGAGAGCTTATCGTTCACGTCGTCGACGTCGATCGCATCACCTTCCGCACCCTTGGGACCATGAATTAGACGCCATCGTGCGTGTTCGTTCGGGTCCTCTAATCTCGCGCTGAGATGTTCCGCGGAGATTTGCATCTCATACAGCGTCGCTCGCTTGAATGAGATTTCCTCTCTTCGCCCAGGAATGGTTGCGACGCGACGGCGCGCCACGGCAACGGAGCGATCGACGTCGTGCACGTTTCGCCGAAGTAACTCACACTCATGCACGCGCAATGCGAGTTCTTCTTCGCACTGGCGAGTGACGTCCTCAGACGTGGCAACGCGATCGCACAGCTGACAGAGCTCTGCGTTCCGATCGAGAAGCTCCATGGCAACGATTTGACGCGACTTCACCAGAGCCCTGGACTGCTCGATGATCAGCTCCAAATCGACCTTTCCCCCTCGTAACTCGTCCTGTAACTTTCTTATCTCCGTCTCGCTCACCTCGCACTCGGCCCTGGCGCGAGATATGACGTGTGTCACGGCATCGCACTGACCTTGGTAAAGATCGCGCTCGCGCTTTTTCGCATCAGTCTCCGCTCGCGCGCGAGATAGATCCTCACCTCTCGCGCGTGTTTCCCTTTCAAGATCGCTACGTTTCACCTCTAGCACTGCAGTTCTTTCGCGCGTGGCGCGCGCGACAGCGTTTGACTTCTTCACGACGCTCGCGAAGGCGTCTCGTTGTGTTCTCATCAGTTCTTGTAATTGCTCAAAGCGACATTGCCGCTCTCGCGCGTCTTCGATGCTCGACTGCGCGTCCCCGATCTCGTTCTCTCTCACCCGTAAGAGCGACTCGAGACGTGAGATATTTTGTCTGACTCCTTGATGACGCTTATTTGCGCGCGCGACGCGATCGGCGACGTGTTTACGCACGCCATCTCTCGCCGCCGCCTCCCGCCGGAGACACTCGATCTCATCCTCCAGATCCGCGACTTCGCCGCGAAGGGTGACGCTCACTGTGTGCGAGAGCGCGTCCGTCCTCGTAATCTCTGTCTTGCACTCTTCGCGTTTCTCATGTACTTCCACCTTGAGCGCGTTCTGTTCGCGGACGACGCGCTCGGTGTCGTTAGTCGCCGTCGCGAGCTCGCGCTCGAGCGACAACTTTGACTCGCGGACGTCCTCGATGGTTTGACGCGCGCACGCCTCGAGCGCGTTCGTCTCTCTCAATCGATGGACCACTTGTGCGTTCGATCGAGATTCGCGAAGTAAGATCTGATTTGCTCTCGTGAGCGACTTCTCGAGCGCCCGTCGATCGATCTCGAGTCGAACGCCCTCGGCGGCGATGGCGTCTCGCGCGAGCGACTCGCGCTCGGCGAGCGATTCCAGATCGCTCAAACCTCTGCTCGATGCCGCCACACGTTCGTCCAGGACGGCGTTTCGCGCCAAAACCTCATTGATCTCGCACTCAAGAACTCTCGCCGACTCTTCCGCGTCCTTCTCCGCGCGACGCGTCGTCTCGAACCGCGTCTCAATCGTGCTCGCGGCGTCTTCTGCTCGCAGCAGCGCGTCGCTCAGCGCGTCCTTTTCCCCTCGAGCGCGTTCGCGCTCGCTTCGACGCTCGAGATTGAGATCGCGCTCACGCATTATCGACTCTCTCGCTGTCTCGCACGCGCGCTCGATCTCACCCACTCGCCTCGTGCGCTCGTCTCTCGTCGCCGAGAGCGCCTCGGCTCTGCGCCCGCCATCCTCGATCTCCTCCGCCAACATCTCGCACTCATCCCGCATCGATACCTCCACGGGCGCGAGTCGCTCCGCCTCCATCACCTCTGCGCGCTTCAACGCCTCTCTCACCGCGTCTCGTTCGCGCGTCAGCGCCCGAACCGCGTCCGAAGCCCGCGCCGCGTCCGCCCCCGCCTCGGCGCGCTCCGCCTCGGCTCTCCGCGTCGCGACGCGCACATCCTCCACGCTCGCCCCTCGATCCAGCGCCCGAACCCGCGACGCGAGCGCCTTCGCGCGACGCTCCAACCGCCCCGCTCGCCGCGCCGACGCCGCCGTCGCGTCCCGCGCCCGCGCCCGCGCCGACGCCACCGCGTCCATCGCGACGCTTCGTCTTCGCGACGTTTCGTCTTCTTCCC